ATAGCCGTTCCCGCGACTATCGACGCGGTACGCCCACCAACTGGCAGGTCTCTGGCCGTTAAGCGAGAGAGTGTTATCGTTGAAGAGGGCAGCAGAGAGTCGCATCAATGCAAAAATCAACGGGCAAGGAAGGGGTCCCATTTCTCGGGTTCTGGGCCGTTTCTTATGGTTTTTCTTCCTCTCGGCACCACTGACCACCTCTACCTTAATTTTTGGGCTGCCCTCTGATCGTTATTTGTGCCCTTGATCGTTGCGCCTGATTCTAGTCATGGTGTTGCCCCATTCAACGTGAGCCATTTATGGTTTCAAGAAATTAATATTGTGAAGCAGTTTCAGTACCTTAAAATGCCCGTGCTGCTGAAAGCAACGCAGCGGAGCCAAATACCTATTTGCGGTGACAGACCTTTTGCGTGAGCATGTCTGCTCATCCGCAAAATGAAGCGGTGAGGCGAATGGGATAAACGAACCACTTACAGAAGTGGAGAGATCGCAGGTCTTGCTGAAACATCAGAAGATTGCAGAATTCTACCTTGTTCTCAATTGTCACCTGCTATTCTGTGACCTCCTGAGCCGATCACAGAACAGCTTGTGATCGGCTCAGGAGGTCAACCGAGCAGAAGCTAGGTCAAAAATTCAGCCGACTGTTACCTACTGCTTGTGGCTGCAGTCGCCATAAGAAATTATCTCAATTAACACATCGAAAGTTAGGGCAAGGTGTGTGTGGGTGCCCGGTGGTAGAATCGGTAGCGCAACTGTTCGGGAAGCGAGAGTGCGGGTTCGATTTCAGCGACCATAACATGGCATCACCGACAGAACTTTCGCATGGTTGATCGGGAGTAAAAGCAGCAGTTCCCAAATTAAGTCGTAGGCAATGCTTCAAATGTAACCTGTTCAACAAGTAAATTTCTCAGATATGATCGGAATCGAGTTCTCCACCTCAGGTCATGTCACCAAAATTGACATCACCCATTTGTTCGAAGCAAGCTTAGGGCTAGGCTTAGGCCCAGTAGACTTGAAGGCACAACCCAGGCAGAGGTCGTGTGAACGCTTCCTTCGGTCTGTAGTATAGACCCCTAGAGGACAATCACAAATGTGGCGTTCCCGTGCACGGAAACCAACCGCTTGGGCCTTGCAAAGTAAGCTGCTGAAGCTGCAGATTTTTTTCTCTTATCAGGCTGTTGTCTGGCGCTCTCTCATCTGTAGCGCTCTCTCGCCTCATACTCTCCTCTCCGCGCTTAGTCTCTCATTCCCTTAGCACAGCCGATTAGGAAGTGAGTGAGCCCTTAACCTAAGCGTTTTCGACGGATCTTTTCCTTTTTTTTTACTGCCGGCCCACTTTCCACCAATGCATTCGCATTCGTGCACCAGAGCCCCAAAAATGTGATCCTGGAGCATGCCTTCAAAAGCCAATGTGTAGCATAATCCTAAACCCAAACCTTAAACCCAGCTAACCTATATGCTCAATGGGGTATCGCGGCCAGCTCTGCGACGTGACCCCAGTGAGAGAAGAACTGAACGTCTCACGATATGATCGGCGCTGTTCCACCTTTGCCTTTCGATTACAGTTCGAATTTCGTCGTACTTACAAGTGTTTAAATGATTACTGTCCACAGCAACGAAGACGAACTGACCGCTCTGGATGCTGATGCGCCAGAACTTTTTTGTGGTGCCTATTCCATGATTTTACCCTTATGAGCTGGAGCTATCACCAAGCATCCCTTGACGAGTGGGATTTTGCGCGTGGTGATGCTGCATCCGAGCTTCATCTAATGAGAAATTTAACTAAAATCGATGAACAAATGGGAGCAGGTGCCGTAACGCTTACCAGGAAGGTCTTTCAGGGCTGCCAAGCTTTTTGAAAACGGTTTTTGCATCATATAGGGGCACATGCGAGAACCACAGAACCATGGTTAATTTTTCCTAAACGCTTCGAGTTGACGTTCCAAAATTCGCGCAAAATGGAGTTAGCATGAATAATTTAGTGCAATATTCATGATTAGGACCGTCAGTAACCCTTACAAATAGACTTTGATTAAAAAACTGGTGAAAAAGGTGTGACACCACAGTGGGGCTGCTTGATGTCACACCTCTCACACCAATTTTTAAGTCAAAGTCTTTTTGTAAGGAGTTACTGACGGCCCTAATCATACATGATTTAAATATTATATTGCTACACTCCATTTTGCGCGAATTTTGGAACGTCAACTCGAAATGCAAAAATTTGTCACCACGAGGAATCGAACTAGGGACCTCCTTTTCTGGTATTCAGAGGGCCGTTCAGGAAAAATTAACATGGTTCTGTGGTTCCCGCATGTGCCCCTATATCATGCAAAAGACCGTTTTCAAAAAGCTTGTCACGCCCTGAAAGACCTTCCTGGTTAGTTCAACTTTGGATGCATCTCACTGAAGTCAGTCTAGCGTTCGGTGCTCTAGAACCTTACTAAGTATGCACTAGAATACCGGACAGGGACAAATCACCTGAAACATTGTATGACATCTTGAGTTTTAGAATACACCTCAATCTCTTCAGGACGATGTTGTGGAGTGCTTGGCGCATCCCAAGGGACCGCCACGAGACTCGTATGTTCATTAGCTCATCCAAGATATAAAAAAGAATACTATAGCTCCCTTTCAAAAACAGAGAGACGTGGGGTGTCAGAAACAACACACAGCCGACGACAGCTCTGAAATCCGTTTTAGTAGTGGTTCATAGTGATAGCGATTTTGGTAAATGATTTAGTGACAACTGATAGAATACAACTGCAACAGGCTAATCATTTCATTGGCAGAAAACATTTACATTTTGTGGAAGGCCGTCGTCACTTGTGGTGTATGGTCTGCACCCGACGCTCTTCTCTCGTTTTTTGAAAGGGAGTCTAAATGCATCTTCTTGCCAAGTTCATGCTCAACTTTAACATCGGTTTCCGTCTGTATGTTTTCGATTAATATACATTTATTAAGCAATCACAATGAATTTGACATAGATCATAGTAACAAACAGAAAGTCTATAACGACCTTATCAAGTACCCGTAAGTGGTGTTATTTAGAAATTTTCTACAAGTTTTTCACTACTGCACATCTTGAATAGAGATCGGTGACTCGTATCGGTTGAGCTCGTCTCGAAGCAGTCCTGAAATATTCATTTGAATTTTGTAAAAAAGACACTGATTTCGCTCTAATGGTTTTGCACTCGTTGGGGAGCGGCACTAAAGAGGACAAAAACTTTTCGCGAGAAGATCTCAGTCAGATCTTCATTCCTTTCCATCGGACTACTTTCTTTCTGTTTTGTGCATTGAGATGTGCGATAATTGCAAGCTTAAAGGCAAGGTCGGGATTCCTAGTCGAAATAAAGCCTTTCACCGAGAAAAACGCAGTGGTACGAAAGCGTGGAGCAGTACACAAATATCGGGATGATTTGACAAAGCCAAAGCGCTGAGGACCTAAAAAGCAGCATTGCCCCGCCCAACACCATTAACTCCACCCACAAACTGATGCTATTTAGCTCCGCCGCTACTGAAGCGGGAGCTTTATTTTGATTCTTGCCGCGGCTTCTTCTCGGTTTTCTTACCGACGTAACATACCACATCTCCACTGTCACTTACAGGCGTGATAACCCATCAGTTTGATCCCGGACTTGGCCTTTCATAGTCCAGTTGGCACAAGAAGCATCAAAAGCATCAAAATGCACAGGTGGCTACGATCTTATTGGAGCCGTTGCCCACTGTGCTGATGAGTCCGCAACTACGACACATCTCTCGCGGGGAACAAACGTCTACCAAGTGAACCACCACCGGTCAGAACCAAACTGGGAACATTTGTTGCTGAAAAATCAGGTAGGCGAACCTTGGACATCGCTGAGGCTAAGTGACGACAGATCATGATGTTCAGCATTGATAAGTGGCACATTGCCAACATTCTTCCGGAAAGTGAACAAATACGGATGTCTGAGCAGATCCGATAAGGAACATCGAGCTCCCAACAGAAGGTAGAGGATATTTCGTGCATGGAAATCTGAAAAAATATAACTGTTTCTTAGCTAAGCTTGAAACTCCTCAGCCACTTCTTACCTATTAGGCCTGACTCAGTGTTGCCCTGAAGGATTGTCCGCCAATCCAGATCATTGTGACTCTTTATCTTGGACAACTTCAGGAACGATTCCTCTTCAAGCAGCAGTCGAGCCAAAATGGAGCCCACTGACATGATATCTTCTGAAAAAGACGGTTTGATCAGAGATACCTTTTCAATGCATAACTTCTCTAAGATTCTACTTTCTAAACACCCTACAACCTTAGGTCTGAAGCAAGGAGAGCGCAAAGGTGACTCGCTATTTTCTTACGCCATGTTTATAGAATTTTTCCTGTGACATTTCACTGGGATCGAGGTGGTAGTGCCTACCCGTCAAGGGAGCTTGGTCGATGCTTCATGATTATAAGGGAAACATTTGCTCAGAAATTAATAAACTTCATTTTCTTTTCTTCGCAGGATTACGGTACCCGTCGTTGGGTAGCATTTTTATAATTGAAAGACTGCCAAGTTTTCCCAAACTTTTGTCGTCTAATCTTTTCTCACTATGTAGCCCACGCTCAACTAGGTTCTAGTTCAAACAGGAAAGTGCGAAAGGGTCTCAGGACATCTGTCAACCGTGAGCCTTGGCGGTTCAGCGTTTTGTAGTGATGTCTGGGAGCTCTCACAAGTGCACACTATCACAGCATCTCCTCTTTCTTTATCTTCTTCAAAAGGCTTAGTCCCAATAAGACACAAAGTGTGTGCTTTTCCAGCTACGCTCTCACCCTTTGGTTGACAGAAGCCTTGTAACCATCCTTGAAAGGCGTCCTATGAGAAGAAGCGGCCGAGTTCGCAATGTACGAGACTATAGATAAATCAGATAAAGGCAGTTTTTTTTACCTTTTGTTTTTTCTTCGCTAGAACTTTGCATGACGTCTCCATAGGACGACAATTTCAGCACAGCATCTGTGTTGATGAAGACGGAGTTCAGAGTGATGTTCTGAAAGAGTGCCGATGATGAGAAAGCAAGCGCGCACATAAACTGAAAGGCAGTCTATGGCGTTCAGCAGCATCACCAGTCGCGTGCGTAACGTGCGGTCACGCCCCCTTTGTGATGTGCTACATTGAAAAAGGAAAATATGGTAATCTCAGCTTCTACCAAAGGCGAAAACCGCTAATAAATCACAGCTGATACGCCGCGCGCCACGCGCGTCGGTCAGCGGCCTAACAAACTGCCTCGACTAATAGACAGACTTTGAAAACAAAATTTCTTACCCCATGGTAAAGTCCATTCGAATGCAATGGCTCGAGGGCGGACAGCAATTGGTAGACAATTTTTGCGATGACGAAATGATTCAAATTCTCATCGACGATATCTGCTAGACGTCCGTCCATCATATCTGTGACTGTGTAGAGGCTGTCCCCAGCTTCAAAAGCGTCCAAAACTGAGAGGATCTGAAAAGTAGCCTACTCTGAGACTAGCCGCATACAAGTCATTCTAGTAGCCATCATTACTAGCATCTTTCTGGAAATCAGATGGAGCTAACTCACATTTGGGTGTGGCAAAAGCCGACCCCATTTCAGGTTGTGATAGACTTGGGCCGTCTGTTCCTGGTCCTTAAGCAGGGTCTTCCGGATAATTACATTCTCCTCCGTCAGTAAGTCGGCACCGGAACTAAAAAGATGTTCATAGAAATTGTAAGGGCTTTCAAAATAGGGTTCATGTTAGAAAACGCACCAGACGGTCCTGCTAGGACCGGCCTTCGATAATTTCTAGATTGGCGAATCGTCGTGGGAGCATCAGTAAATGACCAGAGATATTCACAGAATCATAGCGTGACCACGAAACTTTCTTGCAGACCGACCGCTTTCTCGGAGGGCTTCTGAAACAGGCGGAGGTCAGATGAATGATGAAAGCGAAGAAGACAGAGCAGGCTTGGTACCAGGGTCAACCCTAGCGTTGGTGCTTTCCTGAGAATTTATCACTCAATTTCCCTCCCTCAGAACGGTCGCGGTGCGACCCCCCACCCTTGGCATCCCCGGGTCATCCCTAGGGGTCTCTCTTGGCCAACCCTAAATACGCTCTCCTCTCAAAATCGCAAACACGACCCCGTTTTACTTGCTTCAATGACGAGTACCAGTTTGAGACGATATTCACCACACTGTTAAAAGGTGAATTTTTTGAGATAGAGATTGGTAGAAAAAAGATTCAGAAGCAGTTAAAGGGAATGCAGATATCTCTCGAATTCTCTGACTTCCTCCGTCTACTCCATATGTACACTATCTCGGCGTCAGCTGGGATCAGTGACCGGCTTTCGCCGAGTATAAACGCAGTTTGACTAGGATCAAGGCTGAAACGACTGAATTGCAGTGGAGCATACTTACTGTTTCGTAGTTGATGGAGTTCTTGTCGCGCCGCCTAGTGTTGACGACATTTTATTGAGTTGATTGAAGATCGGATTACCGCCACCAGACTGTGAGCACGAGTTCCACACAGTATTCCAGAGACTTCGAACGTGGTGCTTTCTGCAAGTTATTACGATGATAGACTTGTGGACGAACGCCAACGGAATAAGACATCTTATGCATTCACAAATAGCCTCGGGCGCCAGACACCATAGATTAAGTGGTGCTACTGGATAACAACTCCAACAGGATAAGCAAGTTATCTAAAACTGTTGCGCGTTATTTATTCTCAGAGGTAAAGAATTAGACCAGATCCTCTGAAAGAGAGCTACGCAAATAGCCAGGTGAGTAACACGTTCCTCCCTGATGCGGGCGGTTGCGGCACAGCCATTTTGATCACTGCATAGCCAGTTTCACTCAAGTTTGCACATATAACGAGCGATTCATAAAAACAGCGCTGATTAAATCTACAAAGAAGGGCTCGGGCCAAAGCTAATCGTGCTGCGAGCGACTGCGCCGGGGAGGGACGGTTACCCACCTGTCACTTCTTTTCGCTCGCGAACAGGCTGGGTGTAGGAACAGCAGCATTCGCTCATAGCTATTATTTTACCGAATCATAGGAATGGCTCGGAAAAATAAAGCCCACTGTTGGCGCATTTTTTACATAGGTTATTCTATACTAAAAGGAGTGTGACAAAACATCCGAGAAATTCGCAATTGCGGCACGGTTGTTAAATAAAAAAGGTGTCGAAACAGACCTAAAGAACCACGAACCATGCTGGACACACCGGCTTCCTATCTAGCGTTACACGGTTTTCCGAATGACAAAGTTTGATAAGGAAACTGACAAAAACCGCCGTTTATCAGATGACCACTGATCGGCTGAAGCTCGTGGGACTCAAAGAGGGATCAAAGAAGTATTGAGGCAGTTGATACACCTGTCCCTTATAAACGAGAAGAAAACGCGATTATCACGCAACTCATTGCATATTTAATGCATTGTCGCAACTGGGCGAACGGCTGGGTGAAGAAAAACACATCCCATGGGCAGAACGCAGCAGGAGTAAGTCAGCCGACATTGGAGTTGTAACGACACTGAAGTGTTTTGGAAGTGGCGTCATCCGTCAGGCAACCGGCGACGGCAGTCATTAACCAGTTCTTTGATCCTGCTCAATTTCCTTCCGAAACGACTTTATCGAGCCTAAGTGGAGCCAGAAGAATCACAATTCACAACAACTACTAAGAAAAGCGCCTGTAGCTGTAGGAAGTCTACTCTTAGAGCAATATGGAAAGCGCAAGCGCAAAGATAGCGCAAGAACTCCACAGAAGGAGTAGATCTGGCCATTGGTACGGAAATCGGAAGACGTTAGTCGGCCTTATGTCCATGTTAGAGCATAAGGGTCCCAGCAGATTGAAAATCAAAGTGGCCATCGTTTTTGTTCTCAGCTGCTCGATTGATTGGCAGAAAAATGAGCCCACAGTCATCCGCGAGCGTAGCCCAAGAAAAGTGCGAGGCCATATATCGCTCACATTAAGCAGTTCGGGTACGCGAGCCCATTTCATTGGTCACATCGGTCTAATGGGATTGAGCACTTCGGCCGTTTAAACGACTGTTTTTCTGCCATTCCCTATTTGGAGTTATCCGACCCTCCGGAACGTAGGGGCAAGAAGTGATTGGGAAAACAACAAAATCGAAGTCGTTAATAGGACCCGGGATGTCACGAAGCGGTGGCACGCAATGACCTGCCATTCAGACATGGACAGGCAGCGATGGTAAATGCTGAGAACACAAGCAGTTTCTTTCAGAAAGCACTTGAAGAGCGGGTAAGGTCTGAACTGTGGTGTCTTAATGCGCACTTGTAGGTGACAGCTGCTATGAATCTTAACCCTCCTGTTCCGATTCTCTTTTCCGCTGCGACCGGGGAAACTCAGTCCATTCATGCCAACACAGAACCTGCTGGAAACACAACTACTCACAGCTGACAGGTCACTTTAGGTGGTGCGACACCCCACGAATGAACAAAGAAGTGGAGAGTTGAAAACCGCTTCAGGAAGACCAAAAGCTCAAGTAGACGGTGCGCGGCGCAGTGTCGATGCAGAGAGCGCATGAAGAGCTCGGCCCACGGTGGCATGAATCCCGGGGCTGCGCTACTGCCATAGCCAGCTCGGAATATTCTGACTAAACCCAGAAACGATTTCGGACCACATTCGGCATAGCTATATCGCAAAACGGCAGCACCTCCACGTCAAGATGCTTGCAGATTGTGGGCTGGGTGGGCTTTAAGGAAAAACCAGAACGCCTCCGAAAACGCCCGAAAATCGGAAGTCGGAACCGAATTCTTGACAACATCTGGGGAAACAGTCTGACGGTTTGTGGGCAGCAAGAACGGCAAGAAGGACAGGGATGTTGTTCGATACTGAAGATGACAGTACTTGGTCAATCTAAGCACTCAAAACTGACGGCTACCGACAAGAATTAGAAGGTAATGACAGATAAGTGAACGGAGATGAAACAGGTGTTGCAGAGGCATAAAGAATTTCATGGCTCAACAATCGCGTCACAAATTCGAACGGTCGAAGTAAACAGCAACTGTTTGAAAAAGAGTTGCAAATCGCTGATCTGCATCACCAGACAGCTCCGGTTTCTCCCGAGGGAAACGACAGGCGACAGCAGGCAGACTGCAAAATATCCCGGGAAAATGACATAGGAGCGATCGTACGGTCATTCCGTGAATAATGACAGTAGAAAGCCATGAAACAGGTGGGTAATTAGCCAATGAATATACATCATTTAGAGCCTTATTAAAACGAGTATTAAGGTAAAATCAGGGAATGAACTAGGGCGTTTCCACGAACACTTTGGCGTGATTGATTATAAAAAACGGGAAATAGTGCATGGCAAAGGGCCCATACGAGGTATATTGTGTAGAATTCTCCCTTTGAGAAATCATCTTGTGACAAATAGAACAAAATACATGGCAGGACCAAGCAAAAACACGGACGTAGACGTGAGACGAGGAGTACCTGTCGAAACGCTCAACCTTGCCGAAACCTTTTTGATGCGCCACGCGCTTGATTTTCACTCGAAACTGTGTCTACATTTGAATCGTATCTTTCTTCGTGAAGAAAGTCTTGGAGTACTAGAAGGGGCTCGAGTAAAGAGAACTTATGTTTGCGCATCTTGAAAAACCGCTGCCACTGATCACGTGCAGATCGGGTTTGTGTCGTCGTCGCAAGTCAGGGCGCGACGTCGCGTTTCTTACAGTCCAAGGTTTTGGCTACAGGACCCCTTGCAGAGGCCTACGATGACAACGATGACCATGATGGGGGACCTCGCTGCGACAACTTTGAGCTGTAAAAAGGTGGAATCGCGGCCCACATCTTCGACGCCCACACCCTCGGGGAGAAGGACGAGTAACTAACGAAGCTTTCCATTTTCTTGGATTGGATATTTTGGTAGGTTACCAGAAGCGAGTGGTCCCGTCATGGCCTACTGTTACACGTCGAAGGATCTAGAGAAACGATAGATTCGGAGGAAGGAAGGTGTGGCACTTCTATGGAGATCGATCAACCGCCATAGGGAAAAAATCTTGAAATGATCTTAAAGATGAACTTGGGTTCATTCTGAGAATTTCAGAGGAACTCTAGCACTACGCAGGCGGCTGTACACTCTCACCATGACAGGCTACGTTAACGAAGTGAGTGGAGAAGTGGGGGGGATGGGCGATTAGAAGTCGACCAAGCTCTGCTCTAGGTCTCAGCAATGATCAATCAGATTGAATAACTCGCATCCCAGAGGAGTAACCACAGCCCACTAGTTTTAGCCTTTTGAATGTGATGTCACTTAATATAATGCTGCAAACTATTTTGTCAGCCCTGCATTGTGACTAAAGAACGGCTAGTGTTAGCGGAGACCATACTATGCTTCGTCGAAGCAGGATAATTGCAGCTGAGTGCAACCTAACAGTAATCCCTAATGAACGAGGTACAGGCAAATCGCAGACATTTACGTGACTCGGAAAAAAAAATCGGCAGAGTTTTTAAAAGTCGTAGGCATTTCTCGTCACGTCAAAACAGCGACTCTAACAACTACTTTAATCGCCACGATTTTACTGAACCTCTAGAAGTGGGGTTATAGCGTTTATGGCTATATTTGGCCATGGCTAGGGAGCCATTAAAACCGACTAATCTGTCCACCAAGATCCAATGATCAGCTTTGAATGTTTCACAACACGGCAAAGTAGTCACTCGTATGCTGATCAGAGCTCAGAATGCCAAACACAACAAGCCCAGAGGAGGGGCCCGATAAGACCAGTTATAGAAGTGGTCACCCGAGCAAACTGGGTGTGGCGTGAGCCACGGCACAGATTAGTGCCTCATCGTAGCACGGAAACATTTAGAGGTCTCAGGGTTGGGTGATCTAAAGCGATGATTCGCCAACAAAGCTCTCCCAAGCGTCGTTTGGTTAAATTCCAATAAAACACAGGACCGACGCATTGTGGTGATATAAACGCCAACGTGAACTATTGGGGGGGCCGTACTATGACGCACCCGAATGAAAAATCAGCCTCGAGGCCTGGACGCCTGACGTCAGCAGATTCCACCGGAAGCGGTTCATATAGACACGCATGTGCGATTTGTCCAACGGGAACGATAAATCGAGGTCGATGGAATATGAGGTTTAATATACAATGACTCAAAGGGGTGAAGAGCCCTGAGGATAAGTTCCAATTCATCCCCACACCACTCTTTGTACCCTGTGTAAATAGGGAGGTAACGAGAATTGATATCGGAGAATTAACTACATTCAAATCAACAAATCAATTATCGATTATCGGATCGAGGTCGATCTTTTAAAATGATGCGCGACACTTTCACTTACGCTTTAGAATCGTGTAGCTTTTCATTCTATTGGGTTAGTTTTGTAGTACATGGAAGGCTTGGTAAGCCTAGAGGAAGTTTGAGTCGAGATCTGACTCCCGGACAACTTGCGTAGATACTGAAGCCACCTTCGCCCTGAGTGGATGAAAAGCCTAATTTTGAATACCCTGACCGGAACCAGGAAAATTCACTTTGGGTTTTCATTACCATCGATTTATTGATTACTGCTTACCTTTGACGTCTGTTTGCTCGGCAATGGAGCGCCACGCCGAATCGATTTGTTCACGACGTCCAAAGAATTCGTGATCGTGATCCCAGATACAAGGATGATGTTGAATCTGGGCGATGAGAGTGGAGATGATTGAGGCCGGAAGTGGCTGTGGGTGATCTGGAAGAGAGTAATCTGAGCAGACTTTCGGTAGGGTGACGACGCACTATACTGATATTGCTGAACAAAGCAAAGCACGAAGGCTGTGTAACTAACGAATCTAACAAGCAAGGTCTATGGGGACAACAATTAGCGGATTTCTTGTTCGTCTTGCGGCCTAATTAGCACTTATGTTCCAGCATTCACATGCCCTTAAAGGGCTAGCAATTTGAGATGATGTCAACTGCTTAAAAACGTCTCTAATCACTTAGACGCCTACGAAGATTTAAAAAAGTCTTCAAGAGGAGCCGATGCAAATGACGGGATGCAGAGCGATTGCAGCAAAGCTATTACTTCCTTGTGAAAACGGCCAGATCATGGCTATGAAGGAGCGTTCTGCGCCCGATTGACCGTGCAATTTTTGAGGCTTTCAGCCTCTCAGCCTCAGCCTCATTCCACACATATATTATGAGGTCACTTCGCTCAAAAGTTCGAGTAAGTTCAGCGAATCGCTCGAAAGATGAAGGACGTTATGTAATTGTGCATGCAGAAACAAAAAGAGGAAGCTCAAGAGAAATTTTTGGGTGAAACTGCTCGTAGCAAAAATTCCTCGATTTGCCAGGAATAAAACCGGTAAGTGAAAGTTTTCGTCTTTCAAAGTGACACATACTTCCATTGATTTACAAAATTTGTTCACTGTCTGCTTTATTTACCATTATTATTTAATTATCATTATTATTATTTATTTATCATTATTATTTAATTGTTAATTATTTAACATTTATCAGGTGTCAGTACTGATCAACAAAATAAATTGTGAACATCGACTTAGCTTTAGTAGACAAATGAATACAGGATAAAGGATAAGGATAAAGCATTTGCCGTTGATCAATCCCTTTTGGGATGCGGCACGCATTCTACTTCCATTTGTACATTCGTAGTGGCGTTTGAATGCGATGTGGCCTATACAATGACTTGCGGGGGCCAGCCGATGTACAAGTCAGTGTTTTTATCCTCCCAGACAAGTCTGGTACCAATTAACCGACCCCGGAGGGATGGAAGGCTTGGTTGGCCCGGGCGACTCACGACCCAGGATTTGATCCCGGACCGCTCGCGTGGTAAGCGTGCCACGTTGCCACTACACCACTTCCGTCCTGGACAAATGAAAAATGGGAAATAAAACATGAAAAAAAATAAAGATATCATAAGAAAGTACTGAAAAATACTAATGAATTGAAGTGTCTATTCAGTCAGATTATCCATCAAACAATTAGTTCATTTTTATATGTATTATTTGATATTTAGTTATATTACACATAGTTCGCTAATATTCCCTACTTGTTAATTTGTTTTATTTTTTGGTGTTTTTTGTTATGATTTAAATTTTATCTTTCTGTTGTCATTAATTCACAAATCAGTTTTTGATAATGCGAACTGCAATTATCAGATTTTCCAGATCGGCTTCCATAAAAGCCGATGAAATTTTTCTTGACCTACCCCAAATTTTGCGAAAGTATTCTAATCGTAACTGGGACCAAATAAACCCTCCCATGTGAAGATAGTGTATTTTCCACAATGTCGTATAACTTCCGAGTCTTAACAGTAATTTTGCCGGTGAATTTCTCTGCACAGGAAGTTGAAAAGGGGCTATGACGTGGGATTAAGGATACGCTTAAAAAATGTATGAAGAGAAGCATATTTATAGAAGATGGGATTAGAAATTCTGCCGTGGTAGGTGCCAACCGTGCACATTGAGTGAATAATTCTGAAGCCGTTGACGTAAACGCAACGCATCCCATGCATATACTAGGCGCCCTGGCGAAATTTCTCAGAATGCGCCATGCGGAAAACTGTGAACAAGCGAATTTGGTTAGGTGATTACGGTAAACCTATTATTGTTCTGTTTACGGTGTTGCTTGGTTTAACAAAAGTTGTCAACAGAGATCTGTTGATTGGACTAGGAAGACCACCACCAAGGATAATGAGATGTTGCGGACCGTGAGACGCAAAACCCAGACAGAAACATCCTGCTTCTGATTTAGTTCGGTACTCGGGAGATTAGGTTACTAAACGCTACCTCATATGTTCAGCACACTTTCAGGCGGCAAGATGATCGCAAATGCAGACTTATCATCATAGACGAATCATAGGAGAGCTGATACCATCACAAAGGAAGATCAACACATTGGTGGAAGCGCGTTGTACTTGTATCTTTTTTCATTCCTTCGTTCTCCCCTCAATACCCCTTCAATAGTTTCGCTGCTAATAATGGATATACTACATATTTATTAGATTCCCTAAGTGTAGACAGAAAATTCGGAGAACGAAAAATATAAATTGACTTTAGAAAATGGTCCCACACATGTAAAACCGCGGCGCGCATGCGCGTCACACCGTCCCCAATGCAATAATTCTGCTAAGTAGTGATGGCATGCGTGCCGTGGAAGATCAACATCACGTATGCATAATGGTACTACTGGTTGTCTAATGCCACACAGAAGCTGCACAGTCTGCATTTACGACTCATCTATATACGGGATACAAGGGTACTAAGTTTAGCAAGAGCAAAAAAATGAAGGTCAGAAATTAGCTTTGAGTGGGCAGCCCAGTGATTGGTACGAAATTTCAAGTATTGTAGGCAACACCATTTTCCTTTTGTGACAAAATCAGACCACTCCCAAGAAATCATTTTTCTTTACCTCCACCCAAAATTTGCTCATATTTTGTTCCTAACACCTTTGATTGGCTCGAAATTAGACACCAAGCGTTCAAAAATTTGAGCGGTCGGAACCGGTAGCAATGTCACACACTGCGAGTACTACCTGCACGAAACAGGGTGCGGGGTATCGGGGTTGGGATATCCATGCTTCTACCCTTCTCTATTCTTGAACACGAAAAAAGAAAATTAGCTATAAAGGACAATAAAAGTGAGCGAAGGAATCCGTGAGAAATTCCCAGCAACGGCCACCAGAATGACATCAAGAAAACCATGACAGCGCAATTTTAACCACGTCATTAGTGACAAAAAATTGCCATGGGAACGCTGAGGAAACGTAGGAACAATGTAGGAGTGTGAAAATTCGAATGTTGTTGTTAGAGACACAAAGGAGGGCAATAAAGAGAGCCCTGGGTTCTCAGCAGTTTTCTTAAAGGAAAGCCCGCAGTCCATAGCGCTTCGAGAAGTGAGCGTATTTGAAAGGAGAAATTCCCGTTGAAGAAGCGTGTTCACGGATTCCATTATATAGAAAACATCTGTGCAAATGATATGGTGACGAGAGACGCAGAAAAACGTGAGAGTGGCAGAGAAACAGAGTAATGGTTGTTTATGTCCACATATGGCGATGGTTTGTCATGAGTTGCATGGTAATTGCTGTTGAATAGCGCTACTAGGTAATCAGATTACGTGCATGAGAAAACCTGAACTGCTTCGGGAGGTGATTAGACGCAAGGAAGTTTCCCAGTGTGGGTTGTATCGAATCAGGAAGAAAAACAGTGGCGAGGAAGTGAAACTAATGAGGGAGAAGATTGCCATGAGTGAATGAAGCCAAAAACCCACTTCATAGGGGATGCGCCATGCGTATGAATTTGCCGGCATTTCGAAAGCCTATGCAAGGGCACGAAGGTTGATACATTGACTAGCGTAGCTGCTGGCATTTTCACAGTCATAGACAAGTTTGAAAATAATGGCCTCTTGCCCGAAAAGGCTTGAGGAAGGGACTTTACATGTCCTATAGCATGAAGGGAAGTAGAGGCAAAGAAATGGAAAAGAAAATGCTCTGGGAAATAAGCTAAGCATCCCATCTACGAGGCTCTTCTCAGGGCACTCTTTTGGCTCTCAGTCGTTTCTCCTACAAAGTGTAATGCATCAGTTCCTTAGCCCTGCCAGTCCTGAAAGCGCTCCTGCTGAAATGGCTTCTCATTTATTAACCGCACCCAGGTCT